ACCACAGATACCAGTCTTGTAGATACGGAGTCCTACTGTATACACCTACAGTATACACAGGAATTTTTATTCTGTAAATATGCTGTTGCCTTACATAAGCACACTATTTTTACTCTTAGTGAGCAAAATTTTATCTTAGAAAGCCTTTCACTAATTTCAAAAGATAAAGAATTTCAAAAGATTTTCTTCCAGTCTTCCCAATAATTCCAGTTTTCCATAGAGAAGGAATCCCTTCATGGGAAGCTTCCAATATATTATAGGGATTAATTTCCAGACGATGCCAACTAAGGTTATATGAGAGTAGATACTTTATTGAGCAACCTAGACGTAAGTCATCTTCAAAATCCATACAAAAATAGACTAATAGCCAGTAGGGCAAAAAGCGACCTTTTAATTCTTGTTTCATTCAAACTAGAGGGTGGGAGAGTTTCAGAAATCACTAAAGCGAGAAGCAGGCCACATGTTGGAGGGCGGTTTGTTGCCAAAACGGTTTGGTGTGTGTGAGACTCCCTTCTCCCCCTTTAAAAAAAAATTTAAAGAAAGCAAAAATGTGTTTTTCTCCACCCACCATGTTTTCTCCCCGGAGATCTTGAATGACCCTGGCACATCTACAGTAGCATCCTTCCACGAACACTCTGAGGATGAAGCAGCCAGAGCACTGCTCCTCTCTTCATCAAAACCGCTGGCAGAGCTATGCAGACATTACACTGCTTAGAGAAAGGGAAAAGCCACTATCATGTTGGTAAGCACCCCTTCCCCAAATACGTTTGGCCCAAAACCAAGTTCTAAAGTTTGCATCAAATTGGCTTTCCCAAACTTCCCCCTACAAATGCTATGGGGGTGAAGATTTACAATGTTTCAGACATTATTGCTGGTGGAGTGCCTACGTGCATCAAATACTCCTGTCAGGTAACATCCATCACCAGTCTGGCTTTCTTCACAATGGCGAAGACCTTCATTTCATACACATTAATACTTGAAAGAACCAGCAGCAGGCATTTTAGCTTTATATATGAATTTACTATTTAGTTAGAGACACTGTATGACTTTCACCAAAAGAGGAGAGTTGGAACTGAGTTACGGTCTACATAGACTAGAGGAAATGAGAAGTGGGGGCACAATCTAGGCATTATAAACAATTCCTTACCACCATAGTGCATTATGCATTACTGCTATGATTCGATTTTTAGTATTACTTGTAGTTTCCATTTTGTATTTTCCATATCTCAGAGTGGCATTTTAAAAAACTGTATACTTATTGTTCTTAGCTCCAATATTGTCTTTCAATGATGTAAGGTGCCCCTATACTCATTGTTCTTAGCTTTAAATAATATATTTTAATTATGTTAACCACCGTTGTACACTCATTGTTTCCAACTTCAAATATTGTCTTTCAACGGTGTAAGATATAATAAACACACTTACTTAATTACCCTGTTTCCCTTAAAATAAGACTTAACCTGAAAATAAGCCCTAGTATGAATTTTCAGGATGCTCATAATATAAGCCCTACCGCAAAACTAATGCACCCTTGTGCAGCAACCAGAATAAGATGGCATGACTGTATTTGACTAAACATAGATTGTTGTACATGAAAAAAAAATAAAACATCCCCTGAAAATAAGCCCTAGTGCGTTTTTTGGAGCAAAAAATAATATAAGATCCTGTCTTATTTTCAGGGAAACAGGGTACGTACGTAAGTACGTAAGTAAGTACTCACTCACTCACTCGCTCACTCACTCACTCACTCACTCACTCTGGTGATAAGGCAATGCCTATTTCTTCCCAAGGTATAATCTGTTCACTGGTTCTTAACCTTTGTTACTCAGATGTTTTTGGACTGCAACTCCCAGAAGCCTTCACCATCAGCTATGCTGGCTGGGGTTTCTGGGAGTTGCAGTTCAAAAACACCTGAGTACCAAAGGTTAAGAACCATTGTAGATGTTAAAAAATGAAATTCTAATGTATTCATTTTTAGTGATCCTTGACTTAATTACTCCCTGTTTTCTAAGTGATCATCCAGAAGATCCATAAAAGCATGTGCATAGGCACCTGCACAAAACACCAATTCAGACAAACAAGTAAAATATCTGATTAATCCTGCAGATCCCTAATCAAACATCAAGGTAAGACCAGAAGACAAATACCACTGCGACAAAGTCAAAGCTTTCCCTTTTGCATGCAATAATTACACACTGAGTCACTTCAAATACTAGGCATATTGGGAGCGTGAAAGGCAGACACAGGAAGCAGCCGTATAGAGAGTTGGACCCTTGATCCATTGAAGCTAGCATTGCTAGCATTGGCTAGCAGCAGTCTTCCAGGTTTCAGGCAAGATTCTTCCCTTGCCTTAACTGGAGATGCTGGGGTTTGATCCTGAGATCTTCAGCATTCAAACCATGTGCTCTGCCACTGATCAGAGGGCCATGCTTTTCCCCCTCCCAGATAAAGCACTGCAAAAATAGAGGAAGGTCTGCTATATTATTGAGACTCTAGCCACCATGGTTTACAGTTTGGGGAAATACTATATATAATCTGGCAGCTTTAACACAACTTCATAATACAGTCCACCATCCTAAAATGAAGGAGAAGTCTCTCCATCTGGAAGACACTCTTCAATTCAATGTTCCTGGGATGTGTGGGAAGAAGAATCTGCACCACAAAAATCTTACCACATACCAATCATGTATGTATACAGAAACTGAAAGGCTGTGTGTAGCAAGGTAAGTGTAACGGCAACCTGTTACTCTCTAAGCTCACATAGAGGAACAAGACTGCACATAACTCTATATATACGTCTAACTGATTGACCCCAGGGCGTATGATTCAATCCAATAATGACAATCAACTACAAATACACATTTATGGAAATGAATTGCTACATACCTGTAATAAACACACTAATGAAATTAACAGCGCATATAGTGTTACAGAAATCTAAATAAACAAAACCCCAGCTCTCAATAATTAATGGACATTTACCTAATACCAGAAGAGTGGCTAGATTCTTTCAACATGGATGTTTTTGAAATGACATGCAGAATATATGTGCAATAACTGAGTTATTTCTAAGATGGTAATACAAATGTACTTTGTATGGACTGAAGCATTACAGGGAATGTTGAAGGAGAGTAGCTAGTCAGTGTAGCCTTGGGCAGCTATGTGGTCCTAGAGGACTCCAAAACTGGTAAACCACTTCTGAGTATTCTAAACCAAGAAAACTCTGGAAATACTCATTGTTAAGTCAGAATCAACTCAATTAATTATCATGATTTAGTGGTGCTGCTGTTATGCGCCATCAAGTCGCATCCTAATAGAGTTTTCAAGGCATAGGAGATATTTAAGGAGTTGTATTACCATTAGCACTCCCAATGAGTTTTCATGTTTGAGTGGAGGTAAGTTACAGTTCCTAAATATTCACTAACTTATTTGTTCTGATTAGCATATTTAGAATGTTAATGGCTACAGCTTTCATATCTTTTACCCCAACTCACAAAACCATCCCTTGAGAATCAAGTGGAATTGGGGGGGGGGGGTTTCCCTCTCTAAAATTCCAGAGAAATAAGCTTGGACCTGCGTTAGATCTCCTGGCTGTACATACAAGTAATATCCATCTCCCATCTCTTTCCTCTGAACCATTTTACTGGCATTAACACTGTTGTCACAAGCACATGCATTGCATTATGGGAGCTGTTAAATGAAGGACTACCACACCAACAGGATTCTGCATCTCAAATGTGAATTGGCCAAGGCCACTCACCATGTGGAAATTCCTTGCACTAGCTGCAAGCTGGAATATGTGGCACTGGCCTGAAGACTCTTTGACCAGCAGAGCTGAATCACGTAGCCTACAAGCATGGATTCTGGCTTCAAAGCTTCAACCCCATCATCTGGGTCTTGAGCAAGTAACTTCCCTTTGAGTCTCACCAGTGTGCCTTCTGTACACCAGATGTCTCCCATAGCGGAAAATTATGGGTTCAAAAGAGTGCTATTGATTTATGTTAGGAGGAGCCTTTATAAAGGCAGCAGGAAGAAATGTTATTTAACTGGATGGGATTGTGAGCAAGAGAAATAATGCAGAATCATATATATGATGGTAATGAACTATTCTCTATGATGTACTCTGATGCTCAGATATGACTTTTTCCTTCTAATCTCTTTCTTGGGTCAGCTGTTTGCCTTTCTGCAAAATGCATTTTTTGTATGTGTGACTAGCCGGACTGTCAACAGCATCTATTCTACAATCAGGCAAGCCCTGGTGTAACTCACTAGAGCCAGTCCGACCTGGCTCTGTCCAGTAAAGTCTTAGTTTTCTCAAGCTGTACTAACACAACTGAATTTCAGCCTAGCTACAGGTTCAGTTCTCCATCAATAACAGGTGAATTCAAATGACATTAAAATGTTTTAAATACAAATACTATGAAAAGAAATAATGTATATTACATCTTCGATAAAAATTATATAAAAGTGTATTGTTTGTATGTAATTGTAATTGTAACAATAATACTAATACTAATACTAATACTAATACTAATACTAATACTAATACTAATAATAATAATAATGCAGAGAAACCTGCAGTGTATATAAGTTGTCACTCTAAGTATATAAAAAGGCACCTCAGTCAAGCATGCATTTTGAAATTAACAGTGTTATTCTACATGACTGCTCAGAAGGTAAGTCACTGAAAATGTAGATTCACTTATTCCCAGAAAACTATGTATATGACAGTAAACCTCAAACCAGAATAAGTTATCTGTCAGTTTTAGGGTGAAAGTGCAATGTCTAGTTACAGGTCTAGAATTTAGCATTTACTACTGATATATTTTTCTCATTACCTTAGGAAACAGTAACACTTACTTTCATAAACAGATAATGGACTAAAAGCCAGAAATGTCCAGACTGTGGCAGCATCTTACACTCTGTGTCCCACACACTCTAAGTTGTCCATTCTAAGCCTACTAAAAGGTTAGCAAGAGGAAGACACTTTTATGACTTACAGGCTTCTTGTAAGAACTTCTCTCTCACGCTGTCCGAGGTGCAGTTTTTACATGTTTTGATTGCAACCGCCATGGTAGGGTTCTCCTGCAAGACATAAATCCCATATTGGGCAAACAAACATCATCACACATTCACTTAATTGGAACTAGAACAAAAAAAAAACCTTCCAAAAAGTATGCTAAAGTACAATTTTGGATGAATTCATCCAGTTCAATTCAAGTGCACTGATGCTATTATCTTCTAAAACCATGGCACATGACCCAATTTTTGACTCTCTTTGAAATCTTCCTCCCATGTTCCGAGGTTCACAAAGGATTCCTCAGGGCCAAAGAGAGCCCTAGGGAGCCTCCAAAGCAGAAATGGTGATGGGAAAAGATATAGGACATTTTAAATTAATTTAAATTAATTTTTTTTCAGTGCCCTGACCCAATTTATGCCAGCAGAACTGCACCGATAGAATTTCGCCCATGTGGCAACACAAATAAGATAAACCAAATTCGCCAAACTGCGAGTATCTAATGTCATTTTTTTTCTTTTTTGGACAGTGGAAAAATGGCAGACAATGCCCAATCACTACAATAATATATGTTTCTATGTTTCTAAATGATCCTGCAAGTACATTTTCTCACTGTTACTAATTTAATAAAAGATATCCAAAGCTTTGCAAAACATTAAGGAAAAATATTGAAGGTTTCACATAGCTAATTCATCCTACTAGAGATGCAGCAGCACATTAGAAAATGTGGTTTTTCACTACCAAGGTGAGCAGATAGAACAGAGAGAAGGCTCCAGCAATTATGGTAGTTCATAGTTCGCTTACTTTGTACCAGGGAAGACAGCAGATACATCCACACAACACATTTGCAGGAAAATGTGAGAGTTTTCAGCAGATCCTAGGCCACAGCACTGAAACTATATGTGAGTACTGAGAATACTTACTGGGGTCACATAAACACCTTGATGAACATCTCCGAATTGCCCTTCACCGATGCAACGTCCCAATTCAATCCGTTCTCTCTGAATCTCATAATCCCTGGCTATCAGAATACAATGCATTTAAATGTCAATCCATGATGGAAAAGCTTTGAATTTAGATAATCCATAAGATCCTCAAAATTTCAAAAGTAAACTCCCACAAAATGACTGGCAGTTGAAAAAGAGATTAGAAGTCAACACGCACAATCTATAGAAATACCATCTGCACCGTGGAATCCTCTTAAACAACTGTTCTAATGAAAATCCTGGAAAGGATGCTATGGAATCTAGACATACTGAATTAGTTCTGGTGTGTTTAGTTATATTAATGAAATAAATTAATTGAAACAACAATTGGGTTATGATCTAAAAGACCACATGGAAAAATGCAAGTAGTCCAGATTATATGTGTTAACCTCTGCAAACAGTTTATTTAAGAGTCTCCCACTAGCCGGTATTTTCTGCATTTGAGGCAGCAATCCTATGCATACTGTATTCCACAGAACACAAGTAAACATGCATAGGACTGCACTGTTAATTAGAAAGTCAGCCAAGAATATTTTTTTAAAGAGGTGCACAGACAAATGGGAAACCAAGCAGGGCATAAAATGTACTTCTAAATAATACAGTTGGCTTATATTATTGTTAACATAATAATCTATATATATTTAAGATAACATTGACATAGGAAATGTGCATTAACTGCTTATTTTCCAACCTGCTTGTTCCTAGGAAAAACAGTGGCTTTCTCGTATGCTCCATTTCCAATCAAAATGATTTTGTTTCCATAACTGATATGAAATATTTATTTGGAAACTTGGTGTCTTTTTTGTTTCCAATGGAAGCAATATTTGATATGATTCATAATTATTATAAGTCTTATGCCAGAACATTACGCCACTTGTAAAAAAAACAAAGCAAAAATCAAAGAATGGCTGATGCTACAGAAATGTGCTTGAAGTGCCTAGTGGAACAATGCATTTTCCTCTTTAAAATCCCAAAGCTATCAAATATATTGGCTTAATTGTACACAGTTAAACCAATGGACACTTTATTAATACAAAGTCAACAGTTCTTTTTTTAAAACACATCATTCAAAAGTTGCAAGCACAGAGATTATTAAAGGATCTCCTGTTACCTTCATCTATTCCATAGCTTTCTGCAGTGCAATTAAGAGAAAAATCAAACACTTGCTTAGAAATTGCTTGTTTAAATTCAGAATACATTTGGGAAAAAAATTCTAGTAGTTATAAAACCAAGCACACATAGACTTCATATATGAAGTTAGTGTGAGCTCCCCAGTGTATAAAATCTATGTTGCTTTGCGCAGTAATTTCCCTAACACTGGAAAGGTACAGTCATGATCCATTACCCCTATCCCAGCCTTTATTTGGAAAATATAACAGGCCTCAAGATCAAGTTGTTATTATTACATATATGTGCTGCAAACTGTAATGTCACTGTTCATAAATAGCGGCCAAGAGCCAGAAACAACTCACATACTGTACATCAGCAACAATCATGAACTCCAGTTAACACATTGTTTTCCCTTTCCTTTTTACAGGTAAGGAAGAAATAATTAAATCTTAGAATCTATTGTTTTAAAACCAAGGGTAGGCAACCTGTGGTTGTCCAGAACTCTGATCAACCTGGCCAGCACAGTCAATGGTTAAAGGTGCTGAGAACACAAGTTGCCCACCACTATTTGAAATTACTATTTGAGCTCTGGACACTGTAGTTGTTATATAGTGGTATTTTCAGATATCGGTTTCTTTGAACTATACAAAGTGGATTAAAATCAATGATTTGTTTTTAAAAAAATCAATTTAAATCATCGTGTAAATTTCAAAAAAGTAAATTTCAAAAAAAAATTCAAAATTATTAAATCATTTTTAAAAAATCCAGTTTTTAAAATTTAAATCAAATCTGCCCTGGAACCATGACACTCATAATACACCATACTCTTCCAAATGCAGAACTAATGGAGAACTGCAATTCAAACCTCAACACGGAGCTTTTGATATCCTCTCCTAACCATGCAAAGGAACAGGGGCTTGGACAGAGAGGAATGTTGTTTTAAGCATGAATTGAGCCATGCACTGAACTGAAACTTTCATTCAGACACTCATTAAACCAAGACCTGCTTAGTTTCAGCAAGACTGACACATTCATATTATTCATTAACAGTGTGTCCCTAAAGATAATTATTCCTATAAAGCACCTCCTCTTTTTTCAGAGTGTGGGGTCTAAAACCTTCCCAGTGTTTAAACGTTAATTCTATCAGCACGCTAATTCTGTCAGAAGATCTGGAAGACCAGAATGTCTCTTCCCTGTATCCTATACTGTTTAAAGATAATGTCAAAAGAAAAATTTTATTTGAACTGTGTATTGGTACATCTACTGTTTAAAGGGGGGTGTCAAAATCCCACTGAATGCACACAAGTCCTTAGGATCAAGAGGAAGGAATAAGCAGGCCCAGGGGAAACCTGAAATCTACAGAAGTACAAGTGTCTTGTGGCACAGTGGTTAAACTGCAGCCAAATCTCTGTTCATGATTCAGGTTCAATCCCAGGTAGCTGACTCGAGATTCACTCAACCTTCCATCCTTCCAAGGTCGGTAGATTGAGTATCCAACTTGCTGGGCAGGAGGGTCAAAGTGTAGCCTGCATAATTAAACTGAACACTGGCCAGAGAATACTTTAAACCCTTTGGGCTGTTACTGTATATAAGCAGCCATGCTTTGCTTTTACAGCAATATGTTTAAGAAGGGTGGAAAGAACCATGGGGGCCAAAACACCAACATGTCCAAATGGTGATACAGTAGGTGCAATGGCTTTGGAATGTGGCCTAACTGTTGTGGGTTGGGGCACAGAGAACAGAGTGACTAGAGTCCTCAAGAGGAGCTGTTCAATGTCACAGCATCCTGTTGCAGGTACCACAGATGCTAGACTGACTTTAGAAATAAGGAAGCAACCAGAATTTCCCTAAGTGTGGTGCTATGTATCACCATAGGGAAGGTAGTATTTCAGACTACAGACAGGAGGTTAAAGAGCCTCGTGGCGCAGTGGTTAAACCGCTGTGCTGTAGCCAAATCTGTGCTCACTGGGGTTCAATCCCAGGTAGCCGGCTCAAGGTTGACTCAGCCTTCTATCCTTCTGAGGTCGGTAAAATGAGTGCCCAGCTCGCTGGGGGGGGGCAATGTGTAGCCTGCATAATTAACTTGTAAACCGCCCAGAGAGTGCTTGAAGCACTATGGGACGGTATATAAGCAGCATGCTTTTTGCTTTTTTAAAGGCTATATTCTCCTCAAAAAATTCACATACAAAAATGTGTTTCAGAATAGAGTGCTTCTTGATGGTGCTGTCTCTATACATCTAGGGAGATTTTTACGTTAGGAAAAGCATCCAACCATTCTGGTATCTGAAACAGGAAAGCCAACACCAGATAACATTGTGTAGAACTTCTCATGCATTTTACTATCTAGGTTACTAAGTACATTTCCAATATTCACTTAAGTCACTTTCTAGGTAATTAGGATATTCATTAAATTATGCAAGGCAGTAATAGTTTGTTTCTTTTCTTTCATGAAACATGGGAAAGAGCAAAATGTGAATCTCGCCCATATAATATTCTTTGATTTTTAAATGGATTCTTTGATTTTTAAATGTGACTTACAAGATACCGAAAAACTACGGCAGCTCCACTGAAGCCAGCAGGATCAAGATAATATAACTGCAAACATGTTTGATAAATAGCTTGTCAGACTGCTTCTCTTATTCATTTAAGACATGGGTATGGAAACCTCCATAACAAACGGGTGTACTTACTTGAAGGCATTGTGTAAGTATCTTCTTCATCTATGATCTCTGCATAGTCATCTGTTTCTGAAAGAAAGGAATCACAAGTATTTCAGAAAAATGAATTGCAGTTTAAAGGGGGAGGAGGAGATGTTGCTCCCCTCTTTCCCCATCCAACCATGCCCCCACCAAGCCCGTAACCTTTTCGCCTCCCTATAAGTCTGTGCAGACCTTTGTGACTAAATCCTCCCCATGCACAAGTTATTCATGGAAGCAAAGAGGACCTCATTGTCCCCTGCACGACACACCACAAACCTCTTTCTCAGGGGTTAGTGAGACAAACTGAATGCATCTTTTATTAATCAGTAGATACAGCTTCCTTATTTAGATCCGTTAGTCGAAATAGCAATACGTCCCATCCATACCATCAAAAGAAAAGTTCTGCCACTGACTCATTACAGTTCAGAAGGCAGGGGAGGAGACCCTAACGAAAAATGTTTGTAGGAGGTGCAAACAAGGATAAACTTTGTAAGGCATAAGCTCTACAAAGGCTTCAGGATGCACAATCTGCAAACAGCAAAAGTCTGAGTTATTCTATTATAATGTGTTACAGTACAGCACTGCTTTAGTTTACATTTATTTTATTTTTATAGGTTTCTTGAAATATCACAAGTCCTCTCTTGAGTAATTCTACTTTTAATTCAATGTTATGGCCTATATTTGTCTAGGTTACTGGAAACCCACTTAAAATTAGTTCAGCAAGAATTCATTTCTGCTAATTAAAAGGGGATATGCAGTTTACAGAAATCTGACATAGATGAAAATGACAAATCTAAGCTACTCCTGTCAAGGGATATCTAAAATTGAGTAGACAGATCACATGCTTCTTAACTGGAGTTGGCAAATACAGAACATAGGATACATTTATAAAACTCATACCCTTTCACTGAGGTGCTATAATGTTCCCTCTATAACACCTAGTAGTTTTGGACCACAATGTCTGAAAATCTCTTCCTCTACTAAATAATTTCATTCTTTATAAAACAAAGGTGGTGGTGGTGCCACGTTTATAGCTCACCGACTACTACACCAGATCTAAGAGCTCAAATTCAACTGTTAGTCCCACCCAGAGGAGGTCCACTGAATCCATGGAACTCAGAGAGAATCACAGCACAATGGAGTTGGAAAGGGCCTATAAGGCCACTGAATTCAACCTTCTGCTCATGGCAGGAATCCAAATTAAAGTGTATCTGACAGAAGGCTATCTAATTTGCCGTCTAACATAAATGTTGGCTTAGCAAACTTTCATTGATTCAATAGACCTACTTTAACTGGGACTAAGAAATGCAGTTAGATTTTTTTTTCTTCCAGATGTTAACTGGCTTTCCCTATGTTGGTATGACCAAGAAAATAATCATAATGCTTTGGTATCAAATTCACACTTTGTGTTTTTTTTTCCCAGACATACAAAATAAATCCTAATAGTAAAACAGTAGTGCGATCAATTTGGCAAACTCTTATTGTGTTTTTTTGTAGAAGCCACTGAAAATCAGCAGCCCTGAAGGTATTTTTTTCCCCATTTAAAACTCCTACACATTTTGTACCAGGGACTAAAAAAGTTAACTCCTTCCAATCTTTTTTCTTTTCAGTTCATCAGATGGATTCAACCTACTTATAGTTCAACTGCTTTTCTCTTTAACAAATGTTCAAGCATGGCACCTATGAAACCACCCTTTCTTTCCCCTGTCTCGCCTGTCTCTGCTAGTTCTAATCATCATTCTTTCTCTCCTGCTTTTACCTGATTCTTGCTTTGCCTTTCCTAAACTAATGAGCAGGTGTTAACACCACCACATGTTCAAAGTTGTGCCATTTGTCCTCATGGCTTCATTGCATTCACTTTGCTGATTCTTTTCCATCCTTTCTCTGTGTCACACTGACATTTCTTCTTGAGTATCCCATGCATATTACAATTTGAAAATGGTGAAGACATGGATGATTTTTTTTCAATCTAAATTCTGCTTTGTGGCTGTTATTCTGTCATTCAGAGCTACCAGAATTCCTCTTGTAACTCAAGAGTAAAAATTTCTCCTTTCTTTGCTACCAGTTCCTTTCATTATCCATCTCACCCTCATCTACCCTCTCACACTCCCTTTAAGATTGAATGTTTGAGCTTTTCCTGCTTTACCTGTCAAACTACAATCTCTTCTCCCAAGGATCAAATCTTCTGAATACATGGAAGAACTCGGGGCTGCTAATGCTGGAATGTTGAAAAGGGGACTTGCTCTCGTGTCTCTCTCAACACAGCCTCCTCTATGGCTATTCTGAACTGTAATTGACCTCATGCAAGCCTGTACTCCTTAGGGAAGTAGCAACATACCAACATGACATACAGAATGTTTTTAAAAAATCTTCTTGTTTCCTCTTCTATTAGGTTCATCACTGACATATTACTTAAGGTTCCCGCCACAGAACTACAGACAGTAGTCGGTAGCATTTATTTGTCCGTAAGAAAGTTTAGTATCTTGCCAGTTGAATGCCACCCTTAAGCAGACGACTGCTCTATAAACTTAACTGTGCACAATTCTGGTCACATAGCATTTTCAAGATAAAAAGCGTTTTTAAAAGGTGCACAAATGATTTTTCTAGGCACAATAAACATAAAAAAAGTATCTTTTTATCAGCTTCAAATCATTTTTCCCTTTTCTTATGTTTGCAACATTTCTCTCCTTTCCATCAACAAAGGTTCTAGGGAGACCACTAAACAGCGCAAAGCGTTATCCAGTCTTATGACAGCTTTGCCAGCTCGGTTTAGGCTTTGTCCTCTCTCTGCACTGGGGAACAATATGAAGAAAGGCACACATGGAATTCGTATAAGGACTGGTTCTTTGCCTGTTCACTGTGGTTCTTTGAGTGGCTATCTGTGCCTGTGGAGAAACACTTCCAAACTATCTTAAAGAAAGCCCGTTTGCTCGACTGCTTAAACCCCAAAGTGAAGCTATCTGCCAATTGAATAATTTCACTCACATAGTGGTCTTAATAATATAATTCAAGACCTGCTGCAGGGACAGGAAGACCAGGTTCCATGGCTAGGATGACCATCTGAAGAACCAGTGACAGCACTTCTTCACAGTGTTCACTGTGTATCACACAAAAGTGAACAAGTGGAAAGGTGTAGCAGGACAGGGGATATTAAAGGATTCTTCTGTCAGAAGCAGGAGGTGGAAAAAATGTCAAGAATAGTGATGAATGTTTGCAAGCATGTAGCTCCTTTACATAGATCAAACCATTAAACACCTCTCGAAAATGGTGCAGATATTGCAACAGGTCTTGTAGAAATATTGACTTAAATGACTGAGGTAGTGGCAATTTAGTTTTAAGTGGTAAGCAAATGATATAATCTTTAGAGTTTACTTTGCAAACCATTGAGAAGAGACAGGAGTCTTAGTCTAGTGTTCTTCAATCTCATCATGTGGATCATAATAGAGGGGAACACATAGCCACACCTCCTCCACTGTGGGATCTTTCATGATTTCTGCACAAGGTCTGGAAAGGAAGCATATAAGTATGCACATACATACATACATACATACATACATACATACATACATACATACAACATACATACATACATACATACATACATACATACATACATACATACATACATACATACATACATACATACATACATACATACATACATACATACATACATACATACATACATACATACATACATAGGGGATCTACTTGCATACAGGTACTACATGCAAGCAAGAATCCAGATTTACAAGCTGTACTCAGGTGGCACGATGTTAGATCAACATGGATGGATTTTACATAATAAAAAAAACTAAAAAAAAAGAATCCAGATTTACCAGGGTTCTTACTTTGTTGAACCTATAGAAGCAGCAGTCTTTCCTCTTAGGACCTGGTACTCAAACTGTGATGAATATGACAACACAGAGGAGGAGTGCTCGATGGGTGTTCACAGTGTTAGGGCTTATACACCTGAGAGGGCTTATCTCATCCTTCCTGGCAAATGGAAAGTTATGGAGTCTTCCTACATTAGGAAAACTGGTCTAACCTAAAAGGCCCGTGAAGGATAAATGTTCAAGATGCTTAGGGAACGTTCAAGATAAATTAGCGGGTTTCAGCGGCAGAATGACACAACAGTATTTTGAGAGAAGTGGGAGCTGGAAACTCGGAAAGACATGCCCCCACTGTAAAATAATTATAACTGTTTCCCATCAATTCAGACTTTTGGCAACCCTTTCCTGGGTTTCCTAGGTACAGAGTACTCAGAGGTTGTTTATTGTTCTCTTGCTCTGAAGTGTTCTGGGGCCGTACAGCTTGCTCAAGGTGACACAGATGGGATTTTCTCCTAGGAGGCACAGTGGCGATCTCCACCCTCAGCCTTTGGCTTTGCAGCCAACTACCCACCTCACAGCATTAGCCAGCCAGGCAGAAATTACATATCCATTATAATGACTACCTTATTCCAGGGCCTCACAAAATAAGGTTAATCCATCCTCAGAACACACAGTGTACTGGCATAATATAAATCGCTGAGATTACAGCCTTGTGAAACACAATTTTCAGGGACTACAAGCCAACAGAGGCACGAACTAGAGACTCAAACAGCACCCACAGACAACTATGAAAGAAGCACTGGGAAGTGCCGAGAAGTTATAGCTGTTAAGATCTGTGGGTACAGACACAGAAGAACTAGAACAACCTTCTTGGCCTCTGGCAGCGAGAAGAGATAGGTATTAGAAGTTGAAAGAACTAAGGATGTAGTTCTGCCAAATAAATCTTGATAGATAAAAAAGCTAAGCCAACCTATTCACAAAAGATAGGTGAAAAAAATGTTGACAGCAGAATAATATGCAGGACTGAATCTCTGGCTCTCGGAATGTGCACAAAAACTTGTCAATTTTGTAACATAAGAAGAGCTAGTAGACTGTTTTCTAGATGTCTCTAAACCTGGGAACCTTCTTCCAATCCTCCTGCCACGATGTTCATTTGAGTATTAGCATGTTTGATCAGCTCTGCATGTAAGCAGTATAGCAAGTAATCTGGATATGATAAATGTGTCAACACCTCCAGAATACTCATGGCACAACGCAAAGGTACAGTTGTCATCCTATGGATGAATGAATAGCATAGTGACCAGCTACAAGACCTCAAGAAAGTCTGGAAGACAATCCCAGTACAGGGGTGGATAAAAGAAGAGAGACAGAATAACGTGCTCAGACCTGTACCTATTGTGGATAGGTAACTGAGAGTAAGATATCAAGATACAGACCAGAATGCAAGGGAATATTTACATCAGCTAAGTGCAATGGTGTAACTGGAGCAACACATAGTACTAATTTTTATAATAATAATAATAATAAACCTTTATTGGCATACAGCAGAAGAAGCCGCAAAATAAATACAATAAAATACGCATACAGGGTTCGTTGCATGCGAGTGGGGTGAGGAAAATTACAACGTTAAGCCCCTCATTTTAGAGAGGGCATGTTGCGGCGTCTCTGAATAATGGCGTGAACATATCGAGCAGTTGATACAGTGACTTCCTAATTTTTTTTTAAAAAAAAATCTCTGGCTGAATTCCTAGTTACACACCAGATGGGTAACTCAACACACAACCAGAAATTCAATTAGGAACTTGTTAATTGGTGCCCTAAATGATGCCTTTGCATTTATATCAATGCACATATTCAACTGGAGTCTGCTCAGAGTGGGAGTGTCAATCCTGACACTGTTTCCATTCATGGTATGAACTCTGGAAAGAGCAAGAAGATGGAAAGCATTTCCATTTAATTTTAGGTCTCAACCTGTGTTGCACAATCAGGGATTCCAAGAGGAAAGACCTCCATCCAAGAGTGTAGGACTGCCTTGATGTTTGCTTGTTTTTCTTGTTACTGATGCTTCTCTGATCTCCTACTCTGAGGTTGATCCTTCTATCTGGTGGAGAACCATGCATTCTAGAATGAGTAACACTCAATCCTCTGAATCAAAAATCTCTGAAGGAAGTCAGGATTACAAAAGGAATAGTAAACAGTTGTTTCCTAATTATGCAGTTCTGGCAAACCCTAGTATTCACGCTGTTTTTATTTTCTACATTTCTCAGTGTACAAGAAATGCACTAGTTTCTGTTTCCAAGCCATTTGGAAGTTGGGTTGTAGTCATTTTTCAAGGGGCTACTGCTTCAGGCCCCACCAAAGCAACAATAATTGATTCAGAAGTCTTGGTATCAAATTAACCAATAATTTATCTGGTGACGCCAGTAATAATGGCAAGATAGCTGGAAATATAATAATGATTATTATAATTATTCTGACTTACTGCAACCCTTCCCAGTCCTCCTTCCAGTGAAGTTCTGGGACTGTGTAGCTTGCTCAAGGGCACACACGCTTGCTACTCTTCACCAGAGAGGCACAGTGGGGAATCAAACTCCTGACCCTTGCCTCTGTAGTCAGGTTCTTTAATCCACTGAAATCTTGCAGACGTTTAAAGCAGAGAGCTCAGTGAACTCTTTAACAGACTGGAGGTCTTTTTAAACACTCTTCACTGTTACTAGCCTTTTAACAGTAAGTCTCCAACCTAAAACTAAGGCAATGCTGGCTGGAACCAACACAATGTTGTTCTTCCAAGCAAACGACACTTATGGAAAACCTTAGAGGCCAATAGCTCCTAAGGGTTAAAACTAATAAATTTGCAACAACAGCAACAAAAAAGGGATTTTAGAAAGGAAGAGGAAGAAAGATAAGAACTAGAAATATAACCTCCCAAAGGAAACGAAAATAACCAATAATGAAACAAAGAACAAAACAGAACAACCAATATTGTATATGCCCTCCCACTTTGGCTTTTTAAGAAAAACTGACCAATAAACATTGCGGGAAATAAAAGGACAGCATTCCCAACACAATTCTAAATTCAGGGAGGTTTTAAAATGGAGCTGCACAAAGACATAGATTCCATGCCCAGAACGCATTGAGACCACAACAAAGAACTGATTTTAGCCCTAAAAATCTACATTCCACACCAAGGGGGGGAGGGAGAGAATTTTTTTTTTGGTTAATAAAAAATGTAATTATATTATTGCCCTGGACACTAACACTGCAGGTGCTGTCCTGAGTATCTTATTTTTGCTCCAGTTTTTATGATGATGGGAAGATTCATGTTCACTCCAGGAAGGCTAATAACGTCTACTGGAAAGGAAACATTTAGCTGTCTATAATATTGATGTCTCCGAGGTAACTGATTCTAGTCTTTCATTGTGGAAGGCTTGATGACTCAATTATTTCTACGGATGTATGGTGGCAATGGCAGAAAGGGTCAGGCAGAAAAGCGTCAGTGGCGGAGAACATTTTTAAAGCAGCAGCCTCTAGCTGGTGTTTAGATCTTCTCATTGAACCACCCACTGGGCCTGCTTCTTCTATATGTGTTTAGTTATTCCCAGCTGCAGCAAGAGCAACACAGTCTCTTGAAAAGCTAAACAGATTCTTAGAACCGTTCCAGAAGTGACGTGTGGGGTTCAGCCTAAACACTGGCACTGCTGATATATTTCAAGCTCAGCACACAGGCAAAGAAATATACAGTATTTTTCCATGTATAAGACGCCCCGATGTATAAAACGCCCCCACTTTTCTAACCCAAAATTAAGAAATCTAAGTGGGGCTTAGCAAATGTAGGGCGAAAGGGATCAAAGCACTGTAGGATCGTTTTGATCCCTGCTTTCCCCTCCACTTTTTTCTCTCCTCAGCTTACTTCTATATATAAGACGACCTTCAGTTTTTAGTTTAAAGATTTTAGACAAAAGTATAGTCTTATATATGGAAAAATATGATAGCTTTTTAGCCATTTGCTGAAATCCTGTTGCTTAGTGTAGGTAAGCTGCAGCCACAGTATGCTCATTCCATCAGTGGAACATATAGAGGAGCTGACTCACCAAATCCCCACTGATTCAATGAGTCGAATCTCGGTACGACTTACTATGTTATGTAACAGAATTCCAGTCACTGAGAGCCAAACAACACTTTCAGCTATATATCTAGCCTTCTTCCTTACCCATTAGTAAAATGTTTGTTTCTTCACGTCTCCTTAATTCTGCTTTATACCATTAGCGTTAACAGTGCTGTCAAGACAATGGTGGCACGGGGCACGTAATACCAAGGCATGCACTGATTTGTACCAAACATTAGAGAGAAGAGATACTCTATGTGCACCAAGCTGTCATTTTCAGCGTTCACAAATCTGAAATAATGTCTAGTTGGACACTAAAAATCGTGGTTGCTTTTTTCCCCCCTTTTGTTAAAGGCACTTTATTCTAGAAATGGAATATGGAAGAGCATCAAGAAATTTGTAACGCAAGCTGGCTTTAGGCCGCCTTTGTTCCACCAAACATGACTTTTAGCAGCAGATGAGCATAAGGGCTGCAAATTGCACGTCAGTAACAACACAGAACAAATATAGAGAGATATAACGCCACATATTACCGTCCCCACTAATTTCATCTGTTGATCCAGGTGGCATGCAAAGAGAAAGAACACAGGATAGGGGAGGAAGGGAAGGGTAGGGACAGAGAGAAAAGGGGGAAAGGAATGGGAAGATATTAGAATCACAGGTAAGTGGAACAGAATAGCAAATTCATCTGCAATCATCTTACATGCCTTGCACAGGAAATGAAGGTGACCACTGGAAACCAGCATTTGAGTTCCTGACCACAAGGGACAAAATCCAAGCAAACAACATAGTGACAGTGATATCAATGAAGCTTCAAAAGAGAGAAACTAAGCCAACAATGTTTTTTATGACTGGTAACACTAATGTCTTCCACTACAGCACTCACGCAAACACACACACATTCCCGCACACTGCCCCCAACGGATGAGTTAAGCCAACGTGCAAACAGCCCTGATGCTTATGAGAGCTTTGTCCTGTGATGTAAACATCCCTTTTAGCTGTTGTTTAATGCTAGTATGAACTGCCGTGCACTGAAAGCAAGATCCTGCTGCCTTATGAGACTAGCATCTGCAGTAACAAAATGCAATCCATCTTGTTTTAGGACACTGGCTTTACAAACATCACCACATGCAGCCACCTCCAGTGGTGCTGTGCTGCAAGCATGTGTTTGTTAGAAGCACGATCACAACACGCCCTTCAACACTGCACCTTCAAGCCAGCTCGGTTTGTCTAGGTCAAATATTCAGGGCTTGGGTAATCGGCACATTTAAAAAAAAAAAAAAACTTTGGAGGCTGAATTTTTCCTGGATCAGTACAAGCCTCCCTCTCAGCAACAGTGTGGTTCATTGCCTTGAATCAATTTATTTTACTGGAGAATGCTGAGCCCTCGCATAAAACTGAGCAATCGGTATCCCACAGTAAAAAAAAAAAATTAATAATCATGTCATAGTAATGCCTACACAAGCCCTTAAACTGTAGACGGCAGACGGCAATGCCACAGTCACTTGCAAATGTAAAGGATCTCAGCAAGCTTTTCCAGCGTCTATTCTATGACAACCAATTGCATGCGGTATCAGGGGTCCAAGAATGCATTGGCCAAATAGGCCACTGAGCAAAAAAGTTTATAGACTTTCTCCACTGACAAGACTCAATTGTTTTGCCTTCATTGAACAACATGGCAAAGGCTACAAGAAGTTAAAATAGTTAGGTGAATAATATATATTAAAGAACTAATTTGAGGAGCGGGGGGTTGTGTGTGTTGGTCCAAAATTTCATTTGGATAATTCTTGGATCTCTGCTTACAATTTTACTGCGACTTCAGGTGAACAAAACTTGAAAGGGGTTAGTCATGTTCAGCCTTGGGGTTAATCAGGCAGCCTAAAGAAGGAGCAACGAAGTACCCTTTGGTGCAGGTTCATGTGAACAGAAGATGAAAGGGAGAAAGCGTCTGGCTTTCTTTCCTTTATGCTGACAGTGATTGACTTCTTTACCAAGAAGCAGAAAATAAAATCAAGAAAAGAAAGAGAAAAAAAATTATTGGAAATGAAAAGAAGATAAATCTGTGAGCATATCTGCAAGGAATAAACATAATGCAGCATAATTTCAATGTTGCAGCTTGATCTCTTCGAAGAACATGTAACTACATGAATGCCGTACATTTATGTAATTACATGTTCCTCAAAGAGATCAAAGTTACAAAAGTACATCTTTCACTTTGCTTTTTGAAAAGGGGTTCAGGATAGCTCAACATCTGCCAGTTCTCACTCACATTATAAAAGAGAACATATCATTTTGGTGCATACACCCAAACACTTTGTTGAGTTGACAACTTTTGGAAAATCTGCAGTGATGGACAGATGTGTAAAATGCAGTCACAAGAATAAATGCAAAGGCCTAAAATGTTTTTTTAGTAAAAACAATATATATTTTCTTTCGCTCTGAATAGGCAACAACACACATTCTGGGGAAAAGAGATCTTGGAGTAGCTGCTTGCTACAAAACAACCACATTTTTAACTCCCGGGGATTTCATTTCACTCAACACATTTACTTCAAATGTCTTTCTCTGTTACTACTTGAAGAAAATCAACCAAAATGATGGCACAAATTATTTTGGTTCTTAAAAATGAAGGACTGGACAATTATAACCAGAATGGCACAGTAAGAAGACATAGAAAAGAGTCCAGAAAGGTGTCCATGTGTGTCCGTGCGTGTGAATTATAACCAGAATGGCACAGTAAGAAGATACAGAAAAGAGTCCAGAAAGGTGTCCGTGTGTGTGTGTCCGTGTGTGTGTCCGTGTCCGTGTCCGTGTGTGTGTTTGTGTCCGTGTCCGTGTGTGTCCGTGTGTGTGTGTGTGTGTGTGTGTGTGTGTGTGTGTGTGTGTGTGTGTGTGTGTGTCCGTGTGTGTGTCCGTGTGTGGCTTTAGGTAAAGGTTCCCCTTGACCTTTAGTCCAATTTTGTCCGCCTCCAGGGCGCAGTGCTCATCCTCGTTTCCAAGCCATAGAGCCAGCGTTTGTCTGAAGACAGTTTCTGTGGTCATGTGGCCAGCACAATTAGACACAGAACACTGTTATCTTCCCACCGAGGCGGTACCTATTTATCTACTCGCATCTGCATGCTTCCGAACTGTTAGGCTGGCAAGGAGCTGGGGGAAGCGACAGGAGCTCAGTCCGTAGCGTGGATTTGACCTTACAACCGCTTGTCATCTGACCTTGCAGCACAGAGGCTTCTGTAGTTTAACCCACAGCGCCACCACGTCCCTTACATATTTTTCTTCAAATATTGTCTTCAAATATCGTTTAGGAGATGGTAAAATGAAAGTCCTTGCTGTATTCACACACAGTTTAACATTATATGTGTTCACTAAAACACAGTTTAAAACAGAGAGGACCGGAGCAGCTACTGTTTTCCGGTAGAATAACATCCACATGCCAAAGGTCTGAGGTTCAGTCCTGGAATCTCCAGTGGAAAGTATCCCAGGGAGAAGGTCTAGGGAAGAATACTTTTAGCCCTGGTTCGGGGCATATTGGACTTCCAGATGTCGAGTACAGTTCCCAGCATCCTCTGACCTTTGACTGTGCTGGCGGCAGCTGGAGTCCACTAGTATCTAAAGGTCTAATCAACTCTGCCAAAGATGTATACCTGAAATTAGCCAGTGTCTTGGCTTGTATGGAATCACTCTGGTGCCAACAGTAAAAACACAGGTTCACTTCAGATAGTACCCACAAAAGCACAGAAATCAGTTTGGTTCTACCCAGTTGCTTTTTGCCTTACAGCAGATTCTTTTCACTGTAGAAACGTAATGGGGATCATCCCCATAATTCTGGTGGTCTGGCAAGCTAACTACTCCTAAAGCTACACACTCTAGTGCTCAGTGATGTGGATGCTCAGAGCACCTGCAACCTAAGCCCTAAAGTAGCCCTCAGCCAGGGACTGAGAGACAGGGTTTGACTCTCTTTGTGCTGAGCAGCAGCATATATTTTTGGAACATTTGCTCTTCCAACATCAAAACAACATTCATCCTTTTGGCTGCCACTGTGGGCTGGGTGTTTTGTGACCTAGCAAAAAAATATCACCTTAGCCAGCATCAAAGTCCTTCTCCCCCTGCTTAGAAGAGAGGCACTAGGCTGCCTGTCTATGCACTGGGGTGCCAAGTATCTCCTGAGCGTTTTTTTGGAAGCTCAGTATCCAAACATTTTTCTATTCAGCTCCACTCGTTGAAGAGGCTGAGTGGATCCATCTCTCCAGCTGAACTGGAATTCTGCAACTGCTGAAATGATGCTCCATGCTCTTGCAGCAAGCTCTGGAGTCAGAATGAAAAGGAGTAAATTATTCCTGAACTCACATTGCATTGCAAGGCTGGGCACAAGTGGAAAGGGAGGGGTCTGACATCCATATTGGCTTGGTGACCAAAGCCAACCAAAAACTGGTGGAAATGTGTGTGCACCTGCATCCACCTTTCAGATACAGATATAAATCTCTCCAAGTTACAGTTTTACAGGAATCATCAATTTGAAACAGGAAACACCACTAAAATCACGAGTCAATAGTACAAAAAAAATCACTGATATTTAAAAAAATATATGTGGGGTTATTCCCCAAATGGCTTTCATTATAACAGCCCTAGTGTGTAGAGAAAGGACTGGAAAGGAAGGAGGAGGCTTCTTCCCAAAGACAAGGCAGGAGCAGATTTTACTTTCTTTGCAACAAGACATGAAGTGCAACAAAATCCACTTGTTTTCTACTGAGAAATCATCTAATCACATCGGACGAATAAAAAAAGTCCATTCTGGTATGTCCCAAGCCTCCTCATATCAATGCAGCCCCATGTTTTCACCCACATTGATCCTTGTTGGGTTCTACTGACCTTTCATCAGCTGAAATGTGATTCAGGCCTCGTTTACACTTTGGCATTTAATTCAGATTTCATATTGTGCATATAAACCTATTTTAGCCTGAACAAAGCCTTCGCTTCTCGTATTCATCTGCTTCCTCCTCCCAAACAGCCACGAAAAGAAATAAAGTATGATTTAATCTAGCTTTCCCTGATTCTTGGTTTTCTAGTTGTGCATAAATGAGGAAGTGCAAATGAAAACAAAAACTCAGTTATTGAAGTGGACACTAGAACTTGTTAAGTGACAGAGTCATCCTAGCTATTTCATTAATCTTCTAGTTATTCCCCTTCAGTAACCTGTGCATACAGACGGAAGATGTGTATGATCCTTTGTATGATTTCACAACTTTGAAATCTAAGTGCCCTGTGTGAAGGGAGCGTGTTCTCTAGGACAAGCCCCCATGTACTCTAAAAGACACAAAGTCTGGTTGCAGCCGTACCTGGAGCTGCTGTAAGTTAAAGGCACATAGGATGGCTACGTAGATTGCTGACAGAATAGTAAAAAGGGGGAAATGATTAAAGATGGCTAAAGGTAAAGGTAAAGGTTCCCCTTGACAATTTTTGTCCAGTCGTGTTCGACTTTAGAGGGCGGTGCTCATCCCCGTTTCCAAGCCATAGAGCCAGCGTTTGTCCGAAGACAATCTTCCGTGGTCAC